CATCAGACAGGAAGTCGATCTCAGGCTTTTGCACATTCTTAGGTCCAAATCTCATCTCTTGGACGGTCAAGAAGCAAGCAACCGTGGCCAAATCCAACCGAAGCGGAATACCGATCCTTGTCCTCCGCCCTTTCCGATGTGATCTGGCTTCGCAGACTTGCCGAAGAACTTCAGATACCGCAACAAAATCCGACCATAATTCATTGCGATAACACCTCGGCAATCGCCATAGCTAAGAATCCTGTGTTTCACGCAAGGACGAAACACATCGAGATCGACTATCACTTCATACGTCAACACATCAACTCCAATACCGTTCGGCTCAGTCACATTTCCTCCAACGATCAAATCGCAGACATTCTGACTAAACCTTTTTCCTTCACTCACTTCAACGAACTAAGAACCAAATTAAACATTCGACCGTCGAATGCTTAATTTGCGGGAGGATATTAGCATTACTCAGCCAACTGACATTGTAATATTTACTTTATATGCCATTTGAATACCTATATACATATACACAGTGTAATACAAACGGTAGATGAATAATACAATTCTGTTTTTCCCTCTTCTCCCTGTCTCGGTCCTATCTTCTTCCTCTTCACATTCTTGAAGGAAGCTCTCAGATAGCTGTAGGAATAAAAAGGCTCGCTTGATGGAAATATATACATACATAATCCGCAGTTATTCATCTTCTGCATGATTTGTGCTGTTATGCCTTTTTTTTCATAAAAAGTATTTCTACAGTGTCTGTGATAATCTTCAAATGAGAGGTTTGAGTCTTGCATGTCTGCCAAAATTTAGTGCAACTGAAGTGGAGAAGAAATATTTAGGCTAATTAAGACAAAATCACACACACATCATATAGTTAATATATGTAAGATTCGAAATCAAAACCTATTAGTAAGTAGCCAAAACTCCCAAACAATAAAACAAAATGAGCTATTTGACGCAACTAAAACTTGATCACATTTTGGCCAAAATATTTTTTGATTGATGGATAAAAAATAGTCTTAAGAAGAATCAGATCAGTACCATGCACGTCTCATATGATTTGGCCCATTTATCTAAATGAGATTGGATTACATACAATGCATGTTAGCTTAAATGAACTTTTTAATTCTATATATATCCATAAAATTAAAAATTTTGGAATTTGATTAGCATATTTTTGTTAAGAAAATCTTTAGTCATGGACTCCAAGCTATATGAATTAATCCTAAGGGGCTATTTGGTAGTAGGATTTAGGCTGGATTTGAGGCGGATTTGAGCGAAATCCAACCAAACGGCCTAAAATGCAAAACCAAATCTCACGGCAAACGAAATCCTTCGTAGACGGAAAATTCCGCCGATTCGCTCTAAATCCTGGATTTCTGAAATCTTGCCGGATTTACGAAATCCATAGTGCTAGAGGAAGAATCCGCTCAGTAAATCCTGCTCTATAGCCAAACAGTCACACGGGATTTAAGAGGATTTATCATGAATGTTACCAAACAGTTTTCAGGATTTAAACCTCTCAGGATTTCCGAAATCTGGATTTAGAGGATTTACGAAATCCTACTTAAATCAAATCCAGGATGCTACCAAACAGCCACTAAAAGTATATTAAAAAAAAATCTACATATAAAAATTTGTTTATCAAAAAACTACTTAAAAAAATGAAAAAGTTGTGCTAAATGAGAAAAATTATTTCGTGCACAGTATTGATGTCATCCGAACTTCAATCTTTTCCTCTGTTGTGTAGAAGAGAGAAAAAGTTCTAAGTGTCTTCAATTAATTAGAGTTCGAACGAAAATCTACGTCCCGACTCAATTCATAATAATTTCTCCTTAAATAAAGCCTTAATTTCATTAAATTTTGTCTTGACTTTGCAGGTTTGCTGCGTTGTGGCAAAAGCTGCCGGCTGAGATGGGTCAATTACCTCCGCCCTGGCATCAAGCGCGGCAACTTTACGAAAGAGGAGGAAGAAACAATAATCGAACTACAAAGAGTGCTGGGAAACCAGTAAGCCTCTTTTGATTCTTCCATCTATGCATATTCCCCGAATTAAATTACACTGCCCATCATAATCCATTAATATTCTCTCCAGCTGGTCGAAGATCGCTTCGTTCCTTCCCGGTAGAACCGACAACGAGATCAAGAACATCTGGAACACCTACCTCAAAAAGAGAACCATGCCCCAAAACAGCAACTCGACGCTCAAATCAGGCGCCGATACGAGCAACATGATCGAGGCACAAACCCGTTGCGTCATTTCGTCGAACACTTTGCCTCCAAATCCGTTTGAGCTTGTTGCAACCGCTACAGAACAGAAGGATCTGGCTGTACCTTTTGAATCAGGGAAGGATCCTATTGGGTTTGGTGAAAGCGAGAGGTGGATGATGGAATTGGCGGAGGAGCTCGGCCTGTTTGACGAGGTAGAGGTTGAGGAGAATTGGGAGAAGATGGGAACAGCAGGAGGAGGAGATCCGGTGGCTGCTTTCATTGGCAATTTAATATGATTTATGTTTAATTGCTTATGTATGTGAATAAGATTGAATATAAGAAAATGTTCAAAATGGTCTCATTAACTTTTTTATGAAATATTAAAATGATCTTTAATTATACTAAAATATTATTTTGATCCCTCAACTTTTTAAAGAAGAATCAAAATATTCTCGTTATAGGACTATTATGTTGGATTTCATTCATTAGGTATGTTCAAGACTTTGAATACTGGACCGGCCAATAAATTAGATAAAGGAGAGGTTCATGGGTGGAAGGTTCAATCATGATTGAACTGTATGATGCAATAAATATTAATTTTATTTAAAATATAATATAATTGATGTAATAATGATGCAATAAATAAATATGAAATACATAAAATAGTATAACATATATTATTTTTAAAATTAAAGACATAAAACTAATAACTTGGTATTGTTCTAAATTATAAGTCTAATAACAATGCATCAATCAGCCTACATAATTTACCTCATGCACATAATTCAATAAATTAATTTTATAACAGAGCCTTAATTAGATTTTTTAACTGTTGAAAAATTATATAACTTGATATTTTCTTAATAAATCGGAACATATCTCTTAGAAGGCCTTTTTGTGTAAGTTTTTTAAGTAGTTGATGTGGTCTAATCTTCCTAACAAATACAAAACCTCACCAGGTAGCAGTGTAGCACTCTCAATAGCAAAATCACCATAATTCTCTGAACTATGAAAGCAAAGTAAAAGGAACTACATAGATAAGTAAAATAAACAAAAAATAAAAGAAGAGGGAAAATATAGCTCAACCTGCGCGTTTTGGAAGAGATCTCTAGTTTTGATGACCATACTTCTGAATGTACGAAACTATTTTATTGTCTTCTTCTGCACTCCACCAACTTTTCTTCACCTCCATCCTATTACAACAAGGAACTCTCCTCTCCATACATATATCTCTCTCTGCTGAAACTCAGCTTGCACCTTAGAGACATAATAAGTACTTGCAAGTAGATAAGGGGAACGCTAAAAGTATTGTTAGTGAGCAGTTTCAACGGAGAATTTCCACCCATTTCGTCTATTTCAGTAAGATGCATTGAACTTCCATAACATTCCATAAGAAAAAGCTTCCAGTTGTTTTGTGATTTTGTAGGTACCTCTGGTATAGTTTAAGTAATGTAGCGCATTTTGTTAAGGTGAAAATAACTGGATGAATTGGATGTTAGTGATTATATTAGAAGAAAATTACATTGCGATTGGGAGATCAAAGCCAATATCTCAGGATTAGAAGTGGGAAGAATGATTTGATAGCTTGGATCAAATCCGACCGCCACCGGACCTCAACCCGACCTCGTCGGACCACTACCGGACTTCAACCCGACCTTCGTCGAAACACCACCCGACCGCAACCTACCACTGAACCTCCTCTTGCGGCTGAACATTGTTGGTCCTCCGTCGGGCTGCCAAGTATGGTCCCTCTGACCACCATCTCCTGCCGACTACGGTCCCTTAGATCATGAACGCCCATCGAATACGGTCCCTCCGACCACCATCGCCTGTCGACTATGGTCCCTCCGACCTCTGTCGTCCGCCGACTTTGGTCCATTTAACCTCCGTCACCAGATGACGATCCTTCCGACTTTATTTGCTAGACATCGGTCTTTCTGACCACTGTCACCCGCTGATTATGGTTCTTCCGACCTCCTTCACCAGACTACGATCTTACCAATCTCGGTCACCTACCAACTACAGTCCATCACCCATTGACAATTGTCCTTCCAAAATCCGTCGTAAGAAGACGATCTTTCTGGCCTCCGTCACACGCTGACTAAGATCTTTTCGACCTCTGTCGCCCACTGATTGTGATCCATTCGACCTCCGCCACAAGATAACAGTCCTTCCGACCTTCGTCGTCAGACTAAGGTCTTTCCATCCTACCTCCGTTGCTCGTTGACTACGATACTTTAGATCTCTATCGCCCTCCAACTACTATCTTTTCGACCTCCATTGCCCGTCGACTACGGTCCTTTCAATCTCTTTTGTTGACTACGGTCCTTCTGACCTCTATCGCCAGAAAACGGTCTTCCCGACCACTATTGCCTGCAAAAAAATGGTCATTTCGACCTTCATCGCCAACCGACTACGATCCATTCGACCTCCTTCGCCGACTTTGATCCTTCCGACCTCCGTCGCAAGACAACAGTCTTTCATACCTTAGTCGCGTCCGCCGACTAAACTAGTGGATTCATTTGAACTAGGTCATGTGGTTTTCCCCCCTTTTTTAAGGGTTTCCACGTAAAAACTCTAGTGTCTTTTATAAACGATGCTTACTCTCTTTTATCTGATTGTGTGTTGGGTCTTCGTACAAATTTGGGACGCTAAACTTTATATTTCTCTACCACCGTGAATATTCTATCTAGCCCGCAATAATTTTGGCGCTGTCTGTGGGAATATCGTTCCTAACTGAGGGGAAATTTTTTCTCCCATATCAAAAGTCATTAATGTTAACGTCATGATGTCAACCATTACGACATTTAGTTCATGGGAATCAGATGTGGACTGGGGGCAACCTTAATTGAAACTGTGGCTAAGAAAATTCCTCCAAATCTGCTAACATCCATGATAATATCTTGGGAAACTATTTTTCATAAAGCTTCTAGCAAATGCAATGATACTTCCAATAAATTACAAGTTGTTTAAAATCTCTAGGTAGACTTGACTTTGGACAAAGAACTTAATCTCGACCTCAAAAAATAGTAATGGTGTAAAATAGACCATTCTTCACATTGGATTCGAGATACACTTGGCATTTGCCCCCTCCCAATCAAGGCACAATTGATCCTTAGGGAATTAATCGATTCAACCTCTTCGACATGGTTAATGTCATCAAACAATGCTCTAACAAATAACCCCGGATAGGTCATACATCTTTAGTGGATTCTCTCGACCTCTTCCATAAAAGTTAAACGTTATTGAGCAATGCTCTAACAAACAACCTCAGATATGCCATGCATCATTGGTGGATTCTCTCAACATCTTCCACACATGTAAACATCAACGAGCAATACTCTGATAAATAATCTCGTACATATCATATATCTTTTGGTGGATGCTCTTGGCCTATTCTATACAAGTTAAAGTCATTAAGCAGCGCTTCGACAAAAAACCTCAGATATGTCATACATCATTAGTAAATTCTCTTAGCCTCTTCTATACAATTTAATGCCAATCTCCTACTCTCATTGACCTCCGTAGTCTGAGGAGTTCGCAACTTCAGCTCAACCACTTCATGTGTAGAATTAAAGAACAACATCTAATATATCTAGTGGCCTGCTGCCTAGAGGGACATATAAAAATGAATGGATGATGCTTGAAGATTAATGCAACAAGGATAAGAAAAGGATAAGAAGGGAGAAAGAATATACCTGAAAGATCCTCTAGGTTCCTTGAAACTTGCCTCCTATCAGATGAGCCAAAACCACCTTTTGGGTACTATTCGGGGCACCCTCACCTATGCTTGACGATATTCGCCTTCCAATAGGGGAAAACTACTGCCAACATATGTTGATCACCTCTATTGCCGGTATTTAAACTCTTGGTGGATAGTTTTTTCCCTAATGGGAGTAAACTAAAGCCTGTGTAAGAGAATCAGGTCTTGATCGCCTCTATCACCGGTATTTAAACTCTTGCCAAAAAGTTTTTCGCCCAATAAGAGTGAATTAAAGCCTGCGTAAGAGTACTAGGTCTTGATCACATATGTCGTCTGTATTTAAACTTTTCTCTAATAGTTTTTCTACTAATGTGAGTGAATTGGAGCTTGCATAAAAGTATTGGGTATTGATCGCAGTCACTATAATTTAAACTCTTGCCGGATAGTTTTCCCCTAATAGGAGTGAACTGGAGCCTGCGTAATAGTACCAGGCCTTGATCGTTGTCCCTAGTATTTAAACTCTTGACGGACAATTTTTCCCTCACTAAGAGTGAACTGATGTCTGCGTAAGAGTATCAGGTTCTGATCGCCGCCATTGATATTTAAACACTTGCCAGATAATTTTTCCTCCAATGGGAGTGAATTGGAGCATGTGTAAGAGTACAGTGCCCTGACCGCTGCTTTCGATATTAAACTATTGTCGGACAGCTTTTGCACTAGAAGTGAATTGGAGCTTGTATAAAAGTACCAGGTCTTGATCGTAACTACAAAATTTTTTTAAAATTTTACTGGTCCGATTTCTCCTAAATTTGTAGGAAAATTTTTTGGAACGTCTATGAGAAATGGTGCCTTATCTCTAGCCCATAAGAAGTATATTTATAATTTTTCAAAGAGGTTTGGAAAGCAATTTTTATTAATTTTCCGAAATTTTTAATACTAAAAAATAATTACTTCTATTTTTAAAAAAATAAAAGAGGAAATAATTTAAAACTAATTATGCTTAAAATAAAATGAATATATATTAAATTAATTATTTCCTTTCTAGAAAATATTCTCGATTTTGTTTATAGAATGTTTCGAAATTTTTGGGCCTAAAAATAAACATTTTCCTTTTTTTTTAATGTTTTAAAAGGAAATAAAACAAAATTAATTATCTAAAAAAAATCGTCAACAGCCTCTAGTGTATCCGCCTTCTACAGGTAATAATTAATAATTTTGTCTCAAGAAATATAATATATGTTGATTATCTATAACTTAATTACTACATATTCGTTTATAATTAATTGATTAAGTAATTAATTAATTATTTTTTTGTCTCAAGAAATTCAAATTGGAAATTTTTTGAGTCCCTGAAATTGATTTTTAGCATTTGGGACTCGATTTCGATACTTTTAAAACTCAAAAGAGCTTTTATGATAAGTTTTGAGCTATTTGAAAAATTTTGGAGTAAACTTCTTCGACTTTTTTTTGCTTGGATTAATACTCTGAGTTTATTGCCCTACGGTCATTCTCACCATTGTCGCTCCGATCATTTTTCATTTTCTTTCAATCAAATTTACAACCATCGTTGTCCGTCAACTGCTGTCCTTCCAACATTCATAGCCCTATGGTCATTCTTACAATTGTTGCCCGCTGACTAAGATCCCTCCGACCTTTGTCGCATGCCATCTATTGTCCTTTCAACCTCCATCACCGGCTACGATCCTTCTGAACTTCGTTGCCCATAATATTTCTCTACCGTCACAAATATTCCGCAATGCAACAAGAATAAAATGAAGTTGGTTAGTTCAATGATTGTGTTTTATGATTATATTTAGATGTTGGAAATATGATCAAAAGAAAATGAAAAATGAAATTATAAAAACATTAAGTTACCGTTTGAGCTTTTTTATCACTATTTTTTTCATTCTTTCAAATAAATTTTTTTCATAAAAATTGTTGTAAAAAGCGATAAGATGACAGTCCTCCCATGACACTGCTTTTATTTTATTTCATTTCCTTTCCTTCTGTTCAATCTAATCCAATGTCTGGCTAAAGGAATTGGAAAAATAGGGTTCCTTAGGGAGAAATTTTTTAAAATTTAAACAAGAGCAGTATTTGTACTATTTGACTTTGAATTAATTTTCAGGATTTAAATTGTAAATATAGTTATTGCATATTTTATATTAGCAACTCTATAAAAATCTATTGACTTATTAATAAAATGATTGTATATTTGCACTTTAACCGATCAATTAAGGATTGCTGAGAAAAACTTTATTCTACCATTAAAATCAATAAACAAAATAATGTTATGATAAGTTCGAGAATTAAAATTTTATTTTTTTAGATATATCATTAGAATATGAAAATATGAAAATAAAATTCTACCAAATTTCACCCACCAAGAAAGACCAATAAAGATATGTTGTTTAGCTTTATTTATATTAAGATTTATTTAATTCGATGGTTTTAAAATAGAGAGATTGAAATACATATTTCAGAAATGTAAAATTATTTAATTAAATATATTGAAATTAATTTTAATATTAATTATGATAGATTTAAATGCATAAAAACACAAAAGAAAGGACGCAAGCGATCGGGGTGATGGCTGCATCGAACGGTGGCGGCGACATGGATTACAAGCGGGCCCCACACAATATTTGGATATTTGAAAATCTTTTTTTTTATACATAGCTCACTTTGGTTTGTTGGTTGAGAGCTTATGTTTTCAACTACGAGATTTTGGATTCGAGTTTTTATGTATGTGTTGTGTGTGTGAGTTTGTCTTAATTGGCGTCCAAAAAAAAAAATCTTTTTTTTTTCTTTATTTATTTACTTAATAAATATTGAATTTTTTTTAATAAAAGAAAATAAGAAAAGTGTACTCTCTTTGAAATAAAATAATTTGACTTTTCAGTGCTCGACCCAACAACCGCATTTTATAAGATTTGTGAGCGATAGGTGCTCTCGAAGTGGTGACTTATCTATTCATTATGTGTGACGTGGCAACTCGACCATTAAATGTTTGACCACTGAGCAAGTTCGTTGACAGCTGTTGATCAGTCTGATTGCTTCGTATGTCAACAACAGTGGCGGGGAAAATCCTTCAACGAAAAGCAAGTCACATAAAATCAGCATCAAAGGAAACAAGCAAGCTACAGAGAGATCCCCGGAGAAGAGATGTCTTCGCAGCTCGATACCTTCAGTGACGACAGTGAGGAGGCAGCGAGGGTTCCAAGCCACCCCTTCGATGACACTGGCGACATGGGCGACGAGTCCTACTCCAACTTCGGCCCCGAGGAAGAAGCACGGGACTCTATTGGGGTCACCGATTACATCCAGGATGAGAGAATCGAAAATGTGGAAGAGATCCTCGTTGATCATGATGACGGCTTCCCCGATTCGCACGTAGAGTATTCCTCTGTCGCGTCTCCTTTTTCGACGCCCGAATCCAACGGGCAGGTCTATGGGGTGGAGGAGAACGTTGGCGTCTTTGTATCTGATGGTCCAATTCTTCCTGAGCCGGAGGAGATGAAGGAGGAAGGGTTTCTTCTACGTGAGTGGCGCCGGTGAGGAACCTTCTATTTTCTAGATGTGCTAATTTTGTGCGCCAATTTTTAGGGTTGTCACTTAGAATTCTGCTTTTGCTTCTCCTTTTACTACTGAATCTTTATTTTTTTCATGAAGATAAAAGGTAGCCATATATTGGCTCTGTGATAGAATGGCTATGATTGTTGCGTGCAAATGTTGTCATTTTCGGTAGAGATTGAGCGACATGGAAGATCTTTAGAAACTTAAGAGAGAAGTGTTATTGCCTCGTAAGTGCTGTTTGGCTACAAGTAGGATTTAATTCAATACCATTTAGAATTCCAGTAAATCCAAATTTAGTAAAACTTGAGAGGATTAAAAGCTAAAAAATTATGGGCACGAGCATGACAACAATTAAATCTCGCTAAATCCTAACAAACTGTTTCACTAAGTATTACAGAACAAGATTTGTGAGAGGAAAAAATTGTTGAATTTGTTAAATATTGTGAATGATGAGATTTAGTAAATCTCTGATTTACTCAATAATAGGGCTGAAATGGGATTTATCAAAATAGTGGGATTTAAAGTGCCCAAAATTCAGTTTCATAGGATCTAAGTTACATACCAAGCAACCCCTTTGAGCTTGGTCTAGGGAGAATCCTTTGTTGCTCATGAAAGAAATTGAGTGCTATTTCTCAACCATTAAATTGACTGTGATTCAGTTTAGCCACTTGCAACACGACTTGAGTTCCATGAAGTTGAGTCTTCGGCTCAAGAAGAGGATAACCATAGGGATGATTCATCTCTTAAAATCTACTGATCTCATCTGGTGGAATGGAGAAAATGAAATGAAATAACTGTCCCAAAAGCCCTATTTATGGTTTAGATCAAGGTCAATCCCAACATTAGGAAGGGTTATTGGGATTAGATACATATCAATTACTTTTTATGTCTTTCTTTTTTCGCTACCATCTCAGATCATACAATTTGATATTCCTGCAAATTTAAGGGCGTGGAGTCGAGCACTTCATCCTCAAAGATTATGCTGTATGATATTGTTCCTAAGATGAATGGATGGATTATAGGACAGTGCACCCTAGCTTATTGTTGATATTGGCTATAATTGGACTGATTGATCAAAGCCAAGGATTGAATTGTGACCATATGCATTGGATGTTCGAATCTAGCCTAGGGATCTATTGATGTCAATATTGATATAAAGTGGACTATGAAATTGAGTCGAGATCTTCAAGATTAACAAATGAATCAATCAAATTACTTAGCTAATATGTGCTAATTTGCAATATCATTCTCCTAACAACTTTTGATTCTGAATCAATGATCCTAGTTTATGTTTAAAAAAATTAATGCAATAGCTCTTGATACTTTTTTGCCTCCAACGCTGCTAAAATCAGTTGATGGTCTTGTTAGTATGTCATCTTCTTTTCCTCCCCGTTATCATGCTTGTCCCCAAATTGCAAAAAATATCCATTCTAAGTGGCAAATGTGACAGTTTAGTGGTACTTGATAGGTAGCGAAAAGATTCAATTAAAAATGTATAGTAGACTGAGTTAAACATTGCTGTAGTAGCTAAAATGATATCTGCTCAATCTCTAATAGCAATTGAACCTATTTTTCTCTAGGGTATTTTCAAGATTAAGTGTATATGCGGTGTCATACTCCTTCATCCTCCATTTAATGTTTTTCTTCTTCAACAGTCAAGATATATGTTTTAAAGTAATCTTGATTTTGGGATGGGTAGATGGGCCTTCTCAATGCCTGAAACCTAAGTATCAAAGAATATATGATATAAGATAGATGTTGTCTAGTAATCTTGAAACCCTTGTTCTTGACCTCAAAAGCTGTCAAACCTCGGCTTTGGAACTTAGTCCCGTGAAAAACTCCCCCGCCTTGGATATGCTAGGCTTTCTACCCCAGTCCTTCCCGACGCCGGTGGGCTAGCTCCTAGCCTGATCTCGTCTAAGGAAGGTGCTCTCTCCCTGTTATATGTCTTTCTTTTCCTTTCTACCGTTTTGGTTTTGTGTTTCTTCTCGATCTTGCCTCCATTGCCTTCGTGGTTGGCAGCTAACCAGGTTAAACTTTTTTATCCTGATTTGTTGGATGGTAATCCTATTCCCAAGTCTTTTCTTGATAATCTTTCGGGGACTACTTCTTATGTGGCTTTTTCAAACCTTAAAATTTTTTACTTTTCATGGTTTGCCTTTGTTATAGATCTCGGAGGAGGAAATTTCGGCACTTGCTGCTTTCTTTGCTTTTTCCTTAGTGGGAAAATTTCCTAATCCCAGGCCACTACTGGTTGTTATTAGGATATATTTTTTTTAAATCGCAAACTCTCATGCTAGTTCTCGGTGACTATGCTTGATGTTAAGAATGTATTAATCAAACTAATCAATGATTTTGACTATTGTAGACTTTTTGCTCATCGATCATATTTTGTGAATAATTGTTTAATGAAATTAACAAAATGATCACCGGATTTCAATATTTCTGAAGAATCTCCCATTATCCCTATATGAGTTTCTTTTCTGAGCCTTCATCTGCATCTCTTTGCTCCCCGTGTCCTGCATGGTCTTGGCTCTCTTTTTGGTTGACCCCTATGATATGATAATGCGACATCTAATGGCTCTCGACCTTCAGTTGCTCGCGTGTTGGTTGAATTGGACGTTTCAAAACAATATACAAATTGTGTGTGGATTGGTCCGGAGAAATCTGACTATATTCAAAAGGTGATTATAGATGATTTTGCTCTCTTTTGTGATCATTGAAAGTCGTTTGGTCATTTTAGGAAGGAATGTATTTCTCTCCATCCGCATTTAGCTAAGGATTCGATGAGTTCTCGTATTCCTGTTTGTGTTGTCGGTGTGGAATCCACTCCTACCGCTCCTAAGGATTCCCTCTCTCCGTTTACTGTTCCTGACAATGTGATTATATAGGGATTCAATTGTTAGACCGGTCCAATTTGAATTAGGGGATTCAATTAAATATTGCTTTGGATGGAACAACTCAATTAAATATTACTTTGGGAGAGAACAACTCAATTAAATAATGCTTTGGGAGGGAACAACTCAATTAAATATTATTTTGGAAGGGAACAACTCAATTAATATTGCTTTGGGAGAGAACAACTCAATTAAATATTGCTTTGGGATGGATAATTTAAGTTAGGGGCAGTTTAGGGATTTTGTAATATTCTTTGCTTTAAATAGTTTCTCTTGTAAGGGTTAGGATTTCATTTTGAATTTGGCTGAAATTTGAGATATCTTAGGTTTAGGTTTTTTGGGCACTAGCTGCATCTAGATATTTGGGAGAGATAGATCATCCTCTCGAATAGAGGATCAATTGTATCTTGGTTTATTTCTTCCGCTAGTTTGATTTCTTCAATAAAAATTACTGTTTTGTTGATTTTCCCATAGGATTTGTGGAGCGTTTTGCTGTTTTCGTCTCTATTGATAGGTTTTACTTGAAATCTTCAAGTGTTTCCTATCAAAATGGTGAGGGACGAGGGAAATATGAGGGTGGGGTTGCTCCTGTGCACACCCCTATGATTGTTTTCTCTCCTGTGAATGTTCCGAATGTAGAGCATTGTAATATTAACCAGACGGATTTGTATGAAACTTTTGAGGGTTGCAATTCGGGTCTGCTGCCTGTGAATTTTATTGAACCGGTTGTGTTGCATAAGAGTTTCGAGGAGAGTGATGATGTACCTTTTATAGATGTGTCAATTTCTCTTATTACTAATGATGCTTTGATATCTCATTTGGGATCAAAATCAAAGGATTCAAATGTTGATCATTTTGATTGACTGTTGAGTGTGATCCATCGGCTAATTGGGGTGTTGGGGAAGATAATGATGATTATGGAAATGATTTTCAGGATTTGTATGGTTTGAATGTGGGCTGCATCGAGGATGATTTTAACAAAGTGGTTGGTAAATGAGGTCGGCCTAAAAAAAAAAAGAAGTTTCCTTTCTCTTGATTTGGTGGTCTTTTTCGTTCCTTGTCTTTTGATCCTATATGTTTTAGGATCATCTATTGGTTTTGATTGGTTTTTGCCGGTGTGGGTTTACTGGGATGCTTGTTTGCTGTGGTGTCTACTTGACTGGTCTGATTTCTAGACTATGATGAGGCAGGTTTCCTGCATACCCCTGGATAGCCTTGACTTGTTTTGGCAACCTTGGTGGTTGAGTCATCTGCTCGGTCTATGGTGTTCGTATTTGGGATTTTGTTGTATTCTCTACCTCCAATGGATGGTTCTAGCCTGGCAACTGGGTGGCTTTTGAGTCCAGCAGGTTGCAGCGTCTTATTTTTTCTCTAATTTTGGTTCATTTTTCATTTTTTGGTTGCCTTGCAATCTGTCGCTTAATGTGGTGATTCAAGCTTTGTAATTTCTTGTTTTGGCCTCTTTTGGGCCTTTAGTTGTAAGCACCTTTTTCATCTAATGGAAATAATATTTGAAAAAAAAAACCTATGCATTGGAACAATTATGCTCTATTTATACATCATCTTAAAAATTGGACATACTATTGCTACGTGTTTGATGATATCATTAATGGAGATGATTATGAATTTAACATCAGAAATGAAGCTTATCAGCATCAACAATTTGAAATAAACGATTTTGGCTTTCTTCTATATTTTCCTTCGCCTATCTTTTCTCACAGAAAAGTGAAGCTTAGATAAACTCTTATTTGTGCAGTTGTCACAGACTAGGCAATCTTAGTTACTTTATGCAAACTCATCATAAATTTATATCATATATGATAAAATCTCTGGAGGATTCTGCAGGATATAAAGAACTTACAGTAGTGTAGCAACCATTTTTATCTCACTCTCACCATTTTAGTTTTGATGATTCCTACCGGCTGTTTATGGCTTTCAATTTATCCGAACTCCAACAACCACACACTGTACTGTTCTGTTGTGAATGTTATGTTAATGTGAAGTATCATTGTTTGTTCTCTTTTTAACTTCTTCAAAGATCAAGCTATGAGCATATTCTCTGCTAGCAGCCCTAACATGCAAGCTTTACCAGTGGAATCTCTGCTTTCAAAATTTTCTTTTCTTCAGTTGCTTGTTATATTTCTTTTATGCTACAAATATTTTTCTTCTATTGAATTTCTATTTGTTATAGTTCTTCAATTCCATTAGCATATGAGTTGGGGTTCATTTATAATTCATTGTTGCTGCATTATCTCACACAAAGTAGCAGCTCTATTCCTTAGGCTTCTGTTCAAATCTTACAGCAAAAAACCATACCACGTGTGCGCCACCCGCTCCACCTCATTACAACGACTAATGCACTGTTGAGGAAGTGTTATTATTTAGCTTACACGTTGTTTAGAACCAACTTTTGTTGAATCTCTATAGTAGGATTTGAGTATTGCATTTTGGGCCATTGTTTCTTTATCAGCTTACCCGGCTGAGCGGATTAATCCTATTAAACTTCAGACTAGTTTAATTCCATTTAGTTGTTAGTATGGCTATATATATGTAATGTTCCTTATGTTTGGTGTAGCCTATTATGTGGCTACATTTGTCTATAAATACATAGCCAATATTTATAATAGGGGGGATTTTTAGAGAATAAGAAAATAAAGGTTTATGCCTTGTTATTTTGAATTCATGTATCCTAAGATTTGATCTTAGCTGGTGAGTTCTTTTCTCCATGGAGTTCTTGGAGACTTGCTCAACCACGGTCACCGGATCATCGACGTGGATTCATCGAGCCCCCTCCGGTCCGGTGTCATCATCCTATATACAATATTATTTTTCTCTTCGTCTCATTGTTCATGAAAATTCTCATTAAGACTTCCAGTTTTAAAATTATGTTCTATTTACTACGTTTTACTTGTTAATCCTGCTTACAGGCAGAATGCAATTCATCTCGAAGAAAAGGAAAGAAAAGAAAAGGAGAAGCGGAATCAGATCATTGCAGAGGCTGATGAATTCAAACTAGCATTCTACGAGAAGCGCGGACTTAATCGTGATACAAATAAGGCCAATAACAGAGAAAAAGAGAAGGTGCTTCAAATTTCTCCTTCTCATTGTTCGGCAAAAATGGTTTGCTTATTAAATCTTGTTATAATATTTCTCTATGCCAGCTATTTTTGGCAAACCAAGAGAAGTTTCATGCTGATGCCGATAAGCAGTACTGGAAAGCTATAGCAGAGATCATCCCTAATGAAGTGCCAAATATTGAGAAGAGAGGGAAGAAAGATAAGGAAAAGAAACCATCCATTATGGTAATTCAGGGGCCAAAACCGGGCAAGCCTACTGATCTCTCGAGGATGCGTCAGTTGCTAGTGAAGCTTAAGCACAACCCTCCGCCTCACATGAAGGCTCCACCACCCCCAGATAAAGAATCTGCAAAAGATGGTGATGCTGAAGGGAAAAAAGCTGATAAGAAAATAACATCACCTACTAAAGGAGAAGCATCCAAGGTTCCTGATGCTAACTCACCCAAAAAAGAAGCAACACAAGTTTCAGCTGCAGAAGTAGCGGAAGGGAAAGTAGCTGCAGAGCCAGATGCTGTGGATTGAATTGCTTTGGCTTTTACGAGCTTTAGGCTTAGTTTGGGACGGCTTTCTTCCTGCTTCTTAGAGCGGCTTTTTAGTACATAGATTTTCATTTTTGCACTAAAAAGTTACTTTAAAAAACAAGAATAAAGCTGTCCCAAAGGAAACCTTAATTTACTTGATCCCAGGAAATAAGTTTTTGTAACTATCTTATGGTACCGGTATCACACAGGAAACCTATTTAAGAGTTTTCCTCCGGTACTTTTTGTACTGATTTAGCATTTGGTTTGTCTAAGTGGTCTGGGTTACAAACTATAATTTAACAGTAGTTATGAGGATAAGATTTCTTACACCGTAGAATGTAGTTTATACAAACAATGACATCACTTGCTCAGTCATTTCTTATGAGTTCAATTATTGTTGTGTTCCTCAACATTTTTTATACTGCAAATCTTAAGGGCATCTCCAACCGAAAATTTCATTTTTCATTGCAAAATTCAGTGAAGCTAAAAAATGTTGTGATTCATCTCCAATGGAACTCCATTTTGTGTCCTTCGCAGAAGGTAACCGTCTTTCTCCTCTTTAGCGCGTTTCTTCGGTAAATCTACCCGCAACCAAATACCGGAAGTTTTGTCGTTCGGCTGGAGCTCACGAGCGACGACATTCATGTATTTGGAGTTTAGTTGGAGATGCCCTAAAGTAATTTCGCTGGATTCATTACTGTTTCCGGACATGAGTTTTGACTTTTGGACCAATACTTGTGCAAGAAAGACAAACATAAACCAATAATAATTTAGATAATCTTCCTAGAACTTTTTTACAAAGCGGTTGCACGGTTTACTGCTCTGTTCAATGCAGCAGAGACATTTTTTTCCTGATTTTCTTTGAGATTTCTCAAATGTTATCTGAGGATTGTGGTAATCTAAAGCAGCATTGCAACCTACGTTGCATAGCTAAATTTCTGCCACAAAAATGTTCTCCAAAGATTATCGAGCGGGTATTGCATCAGAAAGGGCATAAATTCTATATTTTATCCTGACTAATAGAGCACTCACTACTACGACTGACAACCTAACCGTTCACATGCAGCCATACAATCCAAGCCCTCAAATACAAACAAACTATTTCATCACATGACTACACTATCCATATCATATCAAATCAGTATCTTAATCACATACTCAACATATCATGTTCTTAATATGTTACATGCTTAATATCAATATAATGTTGTCTGTAAAACTGTTGGTAGTAACAATAAATCAATGCAGTAATAATTAATTCGTAGAATGACAATAAATCAGTAAGCAGTTATAGTAAAGAGGTAAATGAATCAATAACATATATTTCATTAGTCATATTAAACAAGTAAGAAGTCATAGTTTAAGAAGTATTTTTTAAGTAGTTAGTTGTTAGTACTCGTTGGCTCAGTAAATAGAGTTATCACTCTTTGCTTATTGGCAAAGTAATAACATCTTAAAACTCTCACTCTGTGTATCACATAAATCAGTAGAAGATAAGACCCAATAATAATGTTTAAAGGAAAGACTATTGACCCACCATTCTATAGAGATCAATATTAACAGTATGTTAGTCAACGTCAATGAAACAACTTTTACTTGTTCTTATATATATTATTATCATAGTATTATAACAATAATAGTGACTAGCTATTGCCCAACCATACATTTATTTTTATTCTCAATATATATTAACAGTATGCTTAAATAAAAGTATTAAATTATTTATTCAGTAAAAATCATAAAAATTCAATAATTTTTATTTTAGCTAGTGAAAGTCAATAACATTACAATCAAAATGCTCATATTATCGAAATGTATTGCATATCAAAAGTTATGTCATGAAAGTTTGCTAAAAATTAAAATATCATATTTTTTACAAGTTTTGAGCATCAACTCTCGTTGATGACTAACACTAACAATCACCACCATTATCTACAAACTTTTGGCCAGATCTGACCTTGCAGTTGAGTTTTCATTTCAAATAGTCATTTTCTTCTTCAATTATGAGAAATGAATGATTCACGTACATTCTAATATATAATGGATTTTTCAACTAGGTTTATAGTTTTATTCTCTTTTTCAGATTTTTCACCTAAAATTTTTCTTTTTATCTATGTATTTTTAATTTTTATCAAAAGCTAAGTCATAAAATACTAACTCTATCAAAATATAAATATATTATAAACAAATATTTTATATATTTAAAAATATATCTAAAATGATTTTTTCGAATCAATTAAATATGTTAGAAGAATATAGGTGTAGCATGAATATATAGCAGTATAATAAGTGAATTAATAAATTTTAGGTCACTATACTTAAGAAAAGATGTGTTTTTTAATTATTAGAATTATTTTAAAATAATATTTATTAAATAATTTTTACATTATATTTATTTTAATTAAATTTAATATTAGAAAAACAATTTTAAATCTAAATCAAATTTTGAGTATGATCTTGAGTCTTGACCAACAATTTTTCATATTTGTTTTTTTTTTTTTAAATAATAAACAATAAATCACTCATAAAAATATATAATCCTTTTAACCAAATGAACCATAGGCAAACTGACAGCGCCCAGCAAAGCAACGCATAGTTCTAATTCAAATTTCGAATCCTTGTGCCCAGTGGGGACCACAACTTAGTACAATTATTTTAACCCTAACGGCAATGTAGCCGTTACGTCGAACAGAGGCAGAACTAGTGAACTACGAGGTACAACTTCCCCTTAATTTGAATCGCAAGTAAAAAATTTCAAGATCCAGCCTCCTTTTCCCTTCCCGTCCCCTTGACGACAACTAGAATACCGTAAACCCTAATCTAAGCTCTGTTTCGAAGCACCTTCCCCTCACCCTAATCCAAGTCCCAGTTCACAGAAAGAGAGAGATGGCGGCCACCAACATTGGAATGATGGATGGAGCTTATTTTGTTGGAAGGAGCGAGATCCTGGCATGGATCAACTCCACCCTCCAACTTAACCTCACTAAAGTAGAAGAGGTTGTATGATCTTTCCAAAACATCTTCTTTCTCCTCTGGATTATGTTTCTGAATTTGACGATTTGTAGTTTGATGTCGCATTGACATTGATGGGCTGCTTGGCAGGCGGCGTCTGGTGCAGTACAGTGCCAGTTGATGGACGCAGTTCATCCTGGGATGGTGCCGATGCATAAAGTGAACTTCGACGCCAAGAACGAATACGAGATGATCCAGAACTACAAGGTCCTGCAGGATGTGTTCAACAAGCTTAAGATCACTAAGGTCCTTCAAGCAGTTTCGTGTTATATATTTTTTATCCCGTTTTTTGGTCTTTTTATGTTTCTTTTCATCGATAATGGTTATCGGTATTCAGTTTTTCTTGGATTTCATTTATAGCGTACGCCTGTTAATGTATATGGAAAAATGAATTTCCTCCATTCAAATCCAGTAAATTTGGAGTAAGTAGGTGAATCTTGAGAGTATTAAATCTTGAAAACTGTTTGTGAGAACAACTGTTAACCCCATTTGGATAAACTGCTTGACTTTCAGAATTTAGGATTTAAATGAATATGGTATCTTAAATAGATATTGTTCATTTTAGATGTTTTCCTTGTTATAAATCGCACTTCAATGCTTATTTCAGATACATAGAATTCCTTTACATTTTAAATTGACTGCGTCGAAGTCAGGTGCCATAAATTTTATTTAAGATTTCGTGGACATGGAAAGGAAAAGTGATTCTTGTCTGGTGGCCGAAGTGTTTAAAGCATTTCAATGAGAACTTTCAGCCTTCGAGCATTTTTTTTTCTTTTAACTTAAAGTAAAAAATGAAGATCCTTCGTAACTCGAATGAAACAAACGGGCATTATAGGGAAAACAACAGTACACAAGGCTCAAGAACTGAAGAAAGACTTCAGGCACCCAATTAGAAACATATATGGATTATTTATACATGCAAGTAAATTTCCAACCGAAGGTCTTCATGGTTTCTTATAGGATGTTCTTTCTAAATTCTAATATCTTTTTCAGCATATTGAAGTCAGTAAGCTTGTCAAAGGAAGGCCTCTTGATAATCTGGAGTTCATGCAATGGATGAAGAGATATTGCGACTCTGTGAATGGATGCACGCTTAAGAAGTAATTTCTAATACCCTCCCTCTTGCACTATTTTACTTTAAGACGCAAGTAAATATCTGTAAGCAAATCTTATAGTCTACCTTATCTTCTGGTTGATACTTGGTGCACCTTAAAAAAAAAAAAAAAAAAAAAAAAACCTTGTACAAAACGGGTGCACCTTGTACTGTACCTTTTATAAATAGTCTCCAAATGCAAATGAACCGTGCGTATCATGCATTATCTTCTTCTTGATATCTTTTTTATTTTGTTTTCATTTTCCTGCAATTGATTTCACTGATAAAAGTAATGTTCGCTAAAATTGTTATTGAGCCAAATATGCTTATATTATTTATAATAATCAATACCATCTTATTCTAGCAATTTCGATCAACTTTATGAATTTTCTATTCTATTCATTCCTATGGTGTGATACAAATGTTGTTTATTCTAGATTATCATCTTTTCTCACAAATCCATGCAATAAATGGTCTACCTATTTCTTCCTTAATTGCTTTGTTAGGAGAACTTTGGATAGATTATCTCTCCCCTTTGTGTTAGTTGATGGAAAGAAATAATAGATGCATGAGCATAGAGTACAAGTGAGATGAAAATTTAATGAAGCTTTGAATCAATTTGATCAAGCATAAAGAAAATTTATGTAAAACTAGGGGTGTCAATTTCGGGTCATGGGTCGGGGTCGGGTCGAACCCGAAATTGACCTGACAATATTTGGGTCAACCCAAACCTGACCGGTTTTTACAAAGGGGTCGGTTTTTTGGACCCGAGCCTGACTCGAAAAGTGTGTGGTTGTTCGACTTCGCTCGCTGTGGAGGAAACTTTCTCCCTTTCGTGCATTGTTGTTCGACTTCGCTCCTTGGATGACGTTCACTTCTGGTTGGATTAGAAGTTACAATATTTTGATCGGAAGCAACGACGGGAGTTTGCTCGCTGTGAAGGAGTAGCCGCCTCACTAGCTACTTCATTGCTGTTCAACTTCATTCCTTGGACGACGTTCACTTCCAGAGTTCTGGTTGGATTGGAAGTTACAACATTTTGATTGGAAGCAACAACGGGAGTTTGCTCACTGTGTAGGAGTAGCCACCTCACCGACTCCTTTGTTGTTGTTCAACTTTGCTCCTTGGACGACGTTCACTTTCGAAGTTCCAGTTGGATCGGAAGTTACAACATTTTTATTGGAAGCAACGACGGAAGTTCGCTCGCTGTGAAGGTATCTTTCAGTTTTTTGGGGTCAAAATCGGGTCATTTTTGGGTTTTCGGGTCAACCCAAACCCGATTTGAAATTCAAAACAGGTTGAAAATTAGGACCCGAACCAAACCCGTTTCGGGTTCGGATTGACCTAAACTCGAAATTTTCATGTCGGGTTTGAGTCGAATTTTTGGGTCATGTCAAATATTGGCACCCCTATGTAAAACTCTTGTGGAGAGGAAAAACTACAAGGCCAAGAAGTTAACTTTTTAATTTTCAACCGTCAAACAATTTGGTTTACCTTCTTTTTTACTATGCTAGTGTTCAACAAGAATAATGAACTTTATCATAAAAGTAGATTTCTACGATGTAATTTGCACTAGATCTCATAACACAATACGTTAATATTGTTAATATTGTGTAAGAAGAATAACAAAAAAATTGGCCTATAATATGAAATTGACATGAAGAGCAGCTATCTGTAATCGTTAGAATTGATTGGTAGGATTAGATTTCAATTATTGAAGAACCAAAGTTGCACATTTTTTCCCTTCTAGTTGTCATTATTATTCCTTCTACCTAAAAAGAATACTCAGTGTTCTAATAGTACCACAAATAAAAGATGGGTTATCCTTCTCCTAAATTGCTCTCATTCATGTGAGTGTGGACCCTAAATGTGATAAAAATCTTCTTAATTACTAATTATAGATGTAGCTTAATATCAAAGTAATAGAATCTTCTTGCCTGATAGGAGCCTGTTGCTATAAATGTAACTCTTGGTTTATATTAGTAATTATAAAAGTGACATTATTATTTAATTTTTGAATTTATTTATATAAAAATATAATTATATGCTAGAAGAAGAAAATATGATATCTATAATATTCAAGATAAGAGGTAAGAGATTTTTAGACTTTGATCTTAGTAAGATGCATATATTAAGTAGCAACAACAACAATAACAATAACATCGAGCCGATCCTACTGTGTAGAGTTAGCTATATGAATTATTTTTCTCTATTGTGTCTGTTAAAAATTAAATTCTCATTTAAATCTAATAAAAAGAAGACACTGTCATCTACTATCACTACAACATTCAACATAATTATATAAAGTTACTGAGCTTTTGTCTCTTAAATCATATTTCAGCTATAATGCCTTGGAGAGAAGAGATTCATGCAAGGGAGGCAAGGAAGTGAACAAGAAAGTTTCAACCGTACTAACTTCATCCAAAACTTCTACGAACGCTAGAACCAACTCATTACAACCCAACAAGAAAAATGATACTAGTTCAGCTAATGCAATGCAGAAAGCGTCTAAACTTGCCACAACCGCTGAAGTTGATACCTATGATGAGCAGGTAGTAAAGGTTCAATTCAAGATCTGTATGCTTTTGGTTTTAGGGATTGTATGTGCTTTAATAATTGTAAGAAAATGCATGCAGATTACAGAGATGAAGTTATTTGTTGATAGCCTTGAGAAGGAAAGAGATTATTACTATGCCAAACTTAGAGACATTGAAATACTCTGCCAGGGCCCTGACGTCGAGCATTTGCCGGTCAGATATTCTAATAAAATTTATTACTTAAAAAATAGTCATTTCTTTGTGCAATTTTAGAGGAAGGCTTCACTCTTTATAATTTATAAAGAATGCTTGAAATAAAGCTTTATTTTTTAAAATTTGTGTCATTCTTAATATTTGAACCATTCTTGCCTCACTACTATGTGATATATGACAGATAGTTCAAACTATTCAAGGGATATTGTACTCTACATATAATAACGGTTCTGTGATGGAAGATGAAGCACAAATGATGATATCACAAAAAGAACAGCTTTTTCTAAGTCCCATCTTAGAAAATTCAGCGGAACAAATAAAACAGGAATCACAAAAGAGAAAGAATATATCAAGTCCTGAATCAGATATGTTGTTCAGTTCAACAGCATCACAAAGGCAACGCCTTTCTGACATTTCGGAGTTTCAACACTGTGAATCGCCATTAACAAACTTCTGAATATCAAATTCAGAGAAAGGAAAGGTTGGGGCTTTACAATCCATTGATCTTCTTGTTTGGTTTGTGCAGCTAATTTTAGTGCTTGCTGATCTTTTTTTTTTTTTAAATTCCTTTGCAGTTTAAGCAATGGTGCGCAAAGATTCAAGTTTGGTTTATTCTCTGAAGCATCTGTCAAATGAACTATTTGTTCGTTTGATCATATATCCAATCTATAAGATAGACGGCTATTTAGTGTTTTTGATGTGGTAAAATGAGTATTAAGTTCTGAACCGTAGTGCAATTTAAGTTAGTTCTGTCAAATTAAATGTGCTATTTTACTATACAATCGCATGTTTACTTCATTAGGTATTTTGTCAAGGCTTACTATTTTTCTTTGTTATATAATTGCCTTACCTCTTCTTTTGGGAAGGCTAATTTATGCAATGTATTTTGTTTAGCAACTTAAACTTCTATTCTATTGAACTTATGCATATATGTGCTACCTACCTTATTCTGTATTTGCAATAGGCTTTCTATTTTTTGTTACATATTTACCTCAAATCTATCTCCAATAGAACTGCAAACAAATGTTTATTGTCCGCCTCAAGCTCCACCCAAACGCTAGTTACAATAGCATTTTTGTGAGGTGAATTGTGTGATTGGCATAGCATTGTTCACAAACGCAAATTATGGAGACAAAGAAAGTTGCGTGGAGTTTGGTTGAGAAAGAATATACACAATTTTTTTTTTTCTCTTAGAATTATTTTTTTTTGCAAATAGGTGTTTATTGTTCGCCTCAAGCTCCACCCAAACGCTAGTTACAATAGCATTTTTGTAAGGTGAATTGTGTGATTGGCGTAGCATTGTTCACAAACACAAATTATGGAGACAAATAAAGTTGTGTGGAGTTTGGTTGAGAAAGAATAGACACAAAATATTTTTTTTTTCTGTTAGAATTATTTTTTTTCTGCAAACAGGTGTTCATTGTTCGCCTCAAGCTCCATCCAAACGCTAGTTACAATAGCATTTTTGTGAGGTGAATTGTGTGATTGGCGTAGCATTGAGTTTTTCGTTGGAGATGCCCTAATTGGTATTTTGGCAGCGCTTAAAAATTATGCAAGATTTTTTAGTTTACCTTAATAGGTATTTTATCAAATTATTAAAAAAAATCCGTGAAAATGTAAAATGCAAAATTTAAATTATTTATGCTATTTACTTTATTGCCTATATTTAATATTTCTTTTTAAAATAACATTTCTAATTTCAAGCAGTCATATGCTATTTACTTTATTGCCTATATTTAATATTTCTTTTTAAAATAACATTTCTAATTTCAAGCATTCAATTAGCTCTGATCAGTTATTTGGTTCGCTCTTAGTTATGTTTAGCTCTAGGGTTGCAAATTAATTGAGCGTTCCACAAATTACTCGTGGTTTGGTTCAATGAAAGATTATTCATGTTCATTTGATAAGATAAACGAATGAGCTTGAACACTTTTGATAAATAAATACTCGATAGTTAAATAAACAAATTTGAACAATTTGGCGTTCGATTAGTTCATGATCATGAACAATATCATTTAACGCTCATAAACAAGCTTGTTAAGAAGTTCAATTAAAGCACAACTAAGAAGCTAGATTAGAATTATATTAGAGTTTTAAAAAACATATATTATTAAATTAATTTAATAATTTAATAAATTATTTTTATCAATCCCTTTTAAAAATGTTTAATAATTAATTTTTACTTTTCACATCCACCTAAAATTGTGAACAGGCCGCTCTTTGAACATTTGGTAGCTCAAAAATACTAATTAGATATGTTCATGAATGATCTCATTTGATAGCTCAAGAATAATCATTAGTTATATTCATAAATGAACTTGATTGATATGAAATTGATTGATAGTTTAAAAATTTTCGCTAGATATGTTCACGAAGAGGCTCGATGTAATTGTTTGTTAGAATGCTCGATAAGGCTCGTTTGTTAAGTAATTGCACATCTAGAAGTATAGCACATTTATAGCTTGACAAGACTTGTTTGTTTAAATCTCAATAAGCACAAAATGAACTAAACATGAATCAAACATGAACACCCATTAATTGAAATGAACCAAGCTTGAATACAAATAAAAAAGCTCGATTCAAACTCAAACCGAACTTGAACAAGCTGATAATAAACGAACTGAAATATGAACACACTCATGCTTGGCTCGACTCAGTCCGTTTACAACCCTAAGCAAAAAACATTCTTTGAAAACCTAAATCAAAATTTGATCCATGCCATGAGAAAGAACAGTGGCATAATTACCCATAAATGTAGAAGAACCAATTATTCACACTTAATGGGGTGGCCTTTAAATCATACCAATTTAGGTTTCATTTGGGACGGCTACTTCTTAAAGTAGCCTTAAAAAAGATGTCACAAACAAAACTTTAGACAAATAAGTATCATGACTATCTAAAAAAATACCTTTCTTGACCTAGATAAAGAGAGAATCATCCTCATGCACAAGCACTTCTAAGACCCATAAATACATGAATGCTAATGATAATATTAAAGAAAACGAAGTGATGTTACCACTTAAGCTCGGGAGACATCATACCTACGGTTATACCTTTCTGTTACACTTATGCTTACTAGTTTACTCTCCACTACCTTTATTTTCCTTTTTCTATCATTTAACAGCTTAGCCCAACTTTTAGTAGTATTTTAAAAGAAAAGGAAACACAGAAGAATATACTCCTCCATTTTTATCTTCTTGGTGCTTAATGGTTCTACTGCTCTATTCATTTGGTTGTTTGTCTCATTCCTCTGCAGATTACCTACATCAAGAAGCAATTAGTATTCGAAATATTAGGAATAGTTCAAGACCCATCTTGAATAAAAAAACATTATTTCATATTAAGATCACGATTAAAACATATCATGGTGTGTATTTTTGTAAATTTTCTTTATTAAATTATGAAAATTATAAGTTATTTAAACAGACATATAAGAGATCTATGTACAATATAAGAGATCATATATATAAGGAGTGGCAATATATTTTAATTCTTTCCTAAGAAAAAAAGCAACCAAACCCCTATTTTTATTCTAAATAGACATGTAACTACCTTTGCAGTTAGAGGGGAAAGAGTAAGCCTTCTAACAACTTTTATTTTTGAGAAGGTAGTAACATTTCAAATAAAAGAAAGGTCCATGTCATCTCTTTGGGTAAAGCGTGACACTACGAAATCAGATGCAATTTTTTGGAATTTGACTCATAAAAAAGAAACCTAGATGTTAGAGAAGTATTTCACTCAAGAACCTTTTGGAAGAGAGAGACCTCAAATAGTAAGATATATAACTGCCAAGGAAAGCTTGATAAGTTGAAATCTACCATATAGATATAAAATTTTATTTTTTTTAACACAGCGATCATCCATTAATCTAATCAAAAAGAGGTATAAAGTCTTTCTCTTGAATTCTGCGATCACTTAGGAGTATGTCGCAATACTTGACGAAAATGAAGACTTATCTTTTCAGATGATATTACACAAAGATTTAGAGTTGTTATGTTTAGAACATATAACTCAAATATAAAATGCTTCACATATAAGTTTATATATTTGGTAAGATGGAGTAGAGAAGTATTCAAGAATTGCATAGTTCTCTCATTGACTATACCCATAAAAAGATCACCATCATACATGGAATGTATACTTAATATTTGATCATTGAGATGGATGAGAAGTTCCCATTAAAAATTTCGTTAATCTGTAAATTAAGAGAATACATTCATGATAATAATAAAGAAAAAGTGAGATAAAAGGCAATCTTGTCTCAATCTTCTAGACAAATTAAGGAAACTTTTTTCCTTCTATTGATAGTGGTAGAAAAAGGTACATTACTAATGCATGTTGAAGCCCACCTAACAAATAAAGGAAGTATCTACAAGATGAAATTTCTATTAATATTGTTGAAAGTCTTCTTTAGATCAATCTTGACATAATTTTGTTGTCATAATACATAGAATTGAAATTTTTAAAGAGCACGAAGGTTAAAGAAATATTATCGACAACATAGTTAAATGAGATAAAAGTATTATTGTCAATTATAGCGCGATCACAAAAAAACTTTGAGAAGAATAAAGTTCTATGGTGATGCTATGATTTTTATTCTTTTCTGAATATAATTTTGGAGGAAGTGAAGACTATCATCACCTTCGGACAATCAACACTTCTGCTTTTTACTGTATCTAAGGTGATTCATAAGTGGTAGCTTGAGTGAGTTTTCATTGGATGATTTTAGCTTTCTTGCAACAAGGATGGATTAATATGATCAATTAAAATCAACCAAAATTCAAAAGACTTTCTCAACTGGTTTAGAAATGTCAACAATAGAATTCCATAGGCTTTTTCCACCCTAGTATAACATGCAGCATATATAAAAGTGCTATAAAGTTAATGGTTGGAGAACAAATAACCTCTGAATGAGTAAGTTGAGTAGAAAGGAAAAGAGATTCAATTGAATTCTACTTTAGGGTCTGTTTGAGACAACTTTCTTACTGATTTACTATTTAGATCGTAATTGAAGTTTCTGTTTAACTAATTTTTTCTCATTGCTTTCAATAAATTTATGTGTTAGGAAGATGCGTTTATATTAGTTTTAAAAAAATCACTTTTCTCATGATAATTTTATAACCGTCTTTATAAAAAGTTGAAGTCACCTCAAATAAATCTTTAAACACATTCTACCTCCATAGAACATTGGAAATTATAGAAATTATTATTATTATTAGAAAACAAATACAATTTTCTAGTAAAAATAAGATCCATAAGATAGTCATTACTTAATTTGGTCTCAAGAAAATTAAATAGAGAAGATTCAATACGACAAGGAATGACGCGTATATTATAGTCCGCAACAATAACCGTCTTTATAAAAAGTTACAGTCACCTCAAATAAATCTTTAATCACATTCTACCTGAACATTGGAAATTATAGAATTATTATTATTAGAAAACAAATACAATTTT